AAAAAAAAAAAAAGTTAAAATTGGTGAACATAGGTGAAGGGTAGGCAGGTATTCAATGTACTTATTTTGGGAAACTTCCTGTAAATTTGAAAATAAAAGGTTGAAAAACAGTGAGTATCTTTCATTGATACAGGCTTCTCGTGGGTACAGTCTTCCAAGTATATTCCTTAGCCTCCCTGCCTCCCCTCAGTCTCCTGCTAAGGCGGCAGGGGGCTAGGGCACAGAGGGAATTTAAACTTTCCTTCAGATGCTGCTATCGACAAAAAGAAAAGCAGTCCATGAAGACTCGTTTAAAACCAACAAGTAAATCTGATCAGCAGCCTTTGGGCAGGCTGGGCCGCTCCTCCGAGGGGCGTGGTCCGGGCCGAAATTGCTGGGCCAGCAGATGCAGGCTGGTGAGGACGCTCATCCAGTGAGGGAGGCAGGGAGGAGGTGCCGCTGGCTTTCTGTTTCCAAAATCCTGCCTGGTTTCGAGAGCAGCTGGTCTGGGAGTTCCCCCCATCTCTCTCACTAGTCTGTCTGTCCACTTGTGTATACAAGGTAGCTGCCGGCCTCCCCTCCTGACTAGTGCCTCGCCCTGGAGCCGGGCCCAGACATCTGTGGGAGAGGCGTGCGCAGGATCCCATGGAAGCTGGCGCTTGGCTCGCATGCCCGCTCGGGGGACGTTTAAAGCTACTTCTCAAGGAGTCCATCAAAGCCCAGGAGAAATCTTAGAAGGCTCCAAGGTGCCCAACTTCCTCCCTGTACAGATGGAGACCCTAAAGCCCAGAGAGGACAGGGGGCTGCTCAGCGTCACACAGTGTGCTGGCCACTGGGCTGGCTCCTTTATCTGCCTTCCTTCTGGGGTTTCAAACCTTTTCTACATCCTTTAGAACCTTCGTTAGGGATGACCTGCTCACATCCAATCCTGGTTCCCTGAATCTTGTCTGCCTGAACATGTTTTTATTTCTCCCCCTTTCTTGAAGGGTATTTTCATCAAGGACGGAATCTTAGGCTGATGGTTATTTTTTGCTCAGGGCATTGAACACATCATTTCGCTTATTTCCAGCTTCCACTGTTACTGTTGAGAAATCAGCTGCCGCCGCCGCCACCCCTCCCCCCGCCAAAGATGATTTGTCTATATTCTATGGCCACTGTATCTTCAAATACTGCCTCCCTCCCACCATCTCGTGCTTCTCCTGGGACGCCAATGGCCTCCATGTGTCCTAACCTCCGTCCTCCATGGGTCCTAACCTCTCTTTCACGGCTTGCATCCTTTTGTGTTTCTGCTTCTCCCTTCGGTAGTTTAGAGCCCTACTCTGCTGTTAAACCCTCGTACTGAGGTTTCTGTTATTTCGTTTCTAGGGGTTCTGTTTGGTTCTTTTCCAAATCTGTTTGCTCTTTACTCATTTTTTCCAAACATCTCTTATTGATTACAACATACTGAGTGTAATTATTTTACATCGTTTCCAATCATTCCAGTCTCTGGAGGTTCTGTAGGTCTGGTTCTACTTCCTGTTGTTTCAGCTGGCTCTCGCTCACAGTGAGCCTTGTTTCCTTATGCGTTCAGTGATTTTTCACTGAATTGCCCATCTTCCTTGGGACATTTAGCTCTGTAAATTCAATGAAAAGGATCTGCATCTGATTCTATCAGGGACTGGGAACACTGCCAGTTGGGAAGTACTTGAAACTTCTACAGTTGTGACTTGCGGGTTTTTGAGCCATCCAGGCATATGAATTTGGTCTGCAAACCCAAGTTTATGAATTCTCAGGGGAGAGTCCCCTCCCTCCTTCCGTTCAGGCTCATATCAGTTTATCTTTCAGTTCTGGGAGTGGGGGGCTGATGGAAGGTGTGGTCTGTTTCTCATTCATCCTCACCCTGAGAGCCCTCTGGGATCTCAGCCTAATGGAGGAGGAGTTCTCTAATGCGGGACCAGCTTCCTCGAGCAGGTCAGGGCTTCGAGAGGCCCAGCCATGAAAGGACTTAAAGACTGAAGCCTAGGTTCACTCATTTTCGATTTGCCTCCGGGCCTGGCTGTCTTCCGTGGTTCTGCTGACGCTCCTAGGCTCCCTGCATCAATTATCCTTGACCTGGTTACTCCTCTTTCTATTGTTGGGTTATACATGGATTAAAGAAGTTTTAAGTATTTTATCTAACACCTGTCATAGTTTTTAAAGGAATGACTGGACCAGGGACATGGCACACCAGGTTGTCAGAGCTGGGTTCTATCAGTGCCCAGATGCTTGCCCAGCCCTAGAGTCCGCCACCCCCGCCCCCAGCACCCATGGCCACAGCCACACTCACCCCTGGACGCGGACGGTGTGGGAGTGCTCTGTGCTGCAGCCTGGTGGGCCATGTGGGGGGTCGATGGAGACTGAGAGGCCACGTTTGCCATGAGCTGAGGCTGGGATGGATACTAAGGTAACTGTGTGGGGCAGGCGGGAGCCGGGGGAGTCAGGCAGGATCTGCTCGATGACAGGGGTCACCACGGTCTGGTAGTAGCAGTGTCCACTGCAAGGGCCACGGGTGGTAGGGACCCACAGAGGGGGAAGAAAAGAGTGTCAGGACAATCACCAGCATCACCACTCCCCCCATCTCCCAGCCCTGGGCTCTTCTCTCCTCCCCACCCCCCCTTACAGCTCCCCGCTCAGGAGGGTCGTAGCTGCCCACTAGGCCTGGAGCAGGAACTGAGCACATCCAGCCCAACCCCTACCCCTCTCTGGAGCTCAAGTCATTCTGGGCTCCGCTACTCCTGTCATGCTGTAAGTTGGCCAGAAAAAGGCCTGTGGATAAATGCAGTTCAGGAGGAAGTCATTAAAAACCCATTTGGGACTAAGCCATGCCGCCCAGGGCATCCAGCTTTATCAGCACTGTATAATAAAGAAATTTGTCTGGTCTTTGTTCCTGGTTCCTGGGAAAGAGGCTCTAAATCCTTGGAATACCTGAGCTTGTGTTAACAGAGGACGCAGGATGGGGGCCAGTCACCAGAAAGAACCAACCATGGGATGAGATGAGGGGTGGGGACCGTGACCCAGCCCTACGACCTTGGAGGAGGTTGGGGGGGGCGGGCGGGGGTGGCTGAAGATTAAGTTCAATCATGCGCCCAATGATTCAATCAATGGTGCCTATGTAATGAAACCCCAATAAAAACTCTGGTGATGCCAGGGCAGGTGGGGGCATCACACGGGCTGATTCCATGGCAGGGGGGTGCATGGAAGCTCCGCATTTGGGGACCCCCTCCTAGACTTTGGTCTTCGTGTCACTTCTGCTGGCTGGCCCTCATACAAAGGGATCTGCGCCCTTTACAAAAACCCCTATAATCCTCAGTATGGGGCTTTCCTGAGTTCTCTGAGTCGCTTAGTGAATTCTCAAACTTGAGGGGTTGTGGGAACCCTTGAATGTGGAGCCAGTTGGGGGCTGGGCCTGAACTTGCGGGGTGCGGGCCAGAACCACACCTCTGTGACACGGGAGAGCGGGCATGTGAGGCGGGAGTTCTCAGTGTGACAACTGTGTCATTTTTCAGTGACTTCTACACCGAACTTCTATTAACACCTGCCCCACGCGGGAAGGGAAAGGACCCTGGTGTGGAAGACCCGGGACGGGGTGGGTACCTCAGGCTAGGAGGGGGCCCGTGTACTCACCAGTACAGCTTGGAGTGCTCCACCAGTGTGTAGGTGTCCCCGTCACCGATGAAGGTCCCGCACGTGAGGCAGATGAAGCACTCGGGGTGGTATTTCAGCTCCCCAGCCACCTGGCAGGGGGGTGGCGGGGACAACCCAGCTCAGCAACCCCTTCAGTCCCCACAGCTCCTCCCCTCGGCCTCCTCTTGGAAGGGCAGCTCCTAGTCAACTTTGGGGGTCTGGATGGCCAGCTCTAGGATGCTGGTTCCAGAGACACACAGACAGACCAATGGGCTCAGAAGGCAGGGGGGAGTCTGAGCCAGCGGAAAGGAGAACCGAAAAGAGCCAGGGTAGGGGAAACCCGTGAGGATACACACACGCCTGCACCAGGTGCAGGGTGTGAGTGGAGCGGGGCGCTTACCATGACCAGCCCCTTGGTGATGTGCTCCGAGCATCCGTGGCAGGACTCTCCATAGCGGGCCCAGTAGTCCCTCTTGCAGAAGAGCTGCCCATCCTTCTCGTAGTACTGGTGTGAGAGGGAGGCACTGCATTCACAACACCTGGGTGGAAGAAGCACAGGGACTTAGTCTGGCCCAGCCCCTCTCCCCACAGCAGGTGCCTCTGTAAGAATTAGAAAAAGATGTGCCTTCCTCGGGCAGAAGAAGCCTGTGCTGGGGCCCAGGGTTTAGCAGGTGGAGTCCGAGATGGCTTCAGCCTCTCTTGGCCCCTCAGCTGGAAGCCTCTGTGCAGTGCACAGCCCGCACAACCACCCACTGCAGTTCTGCATCCAGAGCACCAGATCATCTGGCCGACCTGCCACTCCCAGGGTGAGAGATGCTCTTCACATCTGAGTCCCAGTCCCTTGTCAGGCAAGGGAGATGGCCCAGGGAAGACAAACGACTTGCTCTTGCTCACCAGTGTGGTGGAGGGAGGAATGGAACCTGGGTGCCTAGGACTCGGGTGCGGCTGATGCAGATGGCAGTGACCCGGTGGAGCTGGGAAGAGCTACCAAATGCTGGCACCTGCCCACTGTCTTGGCTAAATGTACTTAATCCACACTGGCCACCTCGACGCAGATGAACTCTGGAGGCTCTAAATGCCCAAGGTCACATGATGGAGGCCACAGACCCAGAGCGAAGCTACTCCCTGTTCCACTTTGATATAAGGCAGGAATGTGGCTCAGCAGACACCAGCCAGGATCAGTGAAGACAGAGGATCCCCTTGTTTCCTAGACCTTATCCAGCCCTTGGGTGCTGCAGCCCCAAGAAGGGGGCTCGGCCCGGCCCTGCTCACCCCAGCTCAACCAGGGCCCCAGCACCCGCACCCGCCCTCAGAGGAGCAGTGTATGCAGAACACCCAGGTGTGCGGTCATGAAGGCCAGGACCCCCTGCCCTGTCGGGAGGGGCTACGGGAGAGGCCGGGCTGGGGCCCCTGAAGGGAGCTGGGGTGAAATGATGCACCTGCTTCCTTCTGTGTGTTATCCCACAGGCCAGGAGCTAGACCTACATGCCTGGCTTCCTTCCACCCAAGAGTGAGTTGGATGGGGACCAGCAGCTCAGCTGGGTCAGGATGAGCAAATGCAGAAATGCATGATGCCCTGGGAGCCAGCAGGCAGGGGCACAGGCCACACTGGGTTTTGAAGAGCCTGACTGAGGGTCCGGGCTGCATAGGTACGTCTGGGCCAGAATACACAGTGAGCAGAGAATCTGCCCGACTCCGCTGCTGTCTCAGCACTCTGGGTCACGTGCCAAGGTCATGCAGGGACTTGGTACCAGGCTCAGAGCTCGCGCCCAGTAAGAAAACAATCCAGGAGAGGGGAGGGCGGCAAAGACTGGGGCCTGGGTGAGACTGCCCAGTGCCCAGCGGCCAGGGCACCCTCAGCCTCTGCAGCCAGCACACGGGTGGTCACACTGACGGCACTCACTGATGCTCTTTGGGAACTGGGGATGAAGAGAACAGGAGGAAGGCAGCCCAGAGTGCTGGTGGGACACTGTCCCTTTAAGAGGATCCAGCCAGTTCCCCATTGTCTGGGAGCCTAGGGGAGGGGCGGGGGACCACAGCCGGGGGCTGGGGGCTGGGGAGGGGAAGGCACAAAATGCCAGGGTGCAGATGCACCGGAGTGGGGGTGCATCCAGGAGCGGGGGGGCTCCGATGGGCTCTCCCTGTGAAAGGTGGGAGTGGGGCAGGGCGGGCCTCCGGAGACCGCCCTGGGATGTGAGAGGAGGCAGCGGAAGCTACGCTGGCCCCGAGCCATGACGTCATCCTCAGCCCTTCCTGCCCCCGCGCACCCGGCCCCAGCCCCGGGGCGCCCTAAGGGAGCGCGCATCTCACTGCCGGGTGGGCGAAGGGGCAAGGCGGCCCCCCAGGATGAGGGGGAATCCCTAGCGCACGCCCTCAGGGGCCTCTAACCTGGCGGGAAGGTGCGCGGCCGAGGAGCCGGCTCCGCCAAGAGGCAGGCGCGCGCACTGCACCGTGACCTTGGGGAGGCTCCCCCGTCGCCCGCGCGCCCTGTGCCATCAGTGAGTGATTCACTTTGCCCTTCCACCGGCTAGACAGCACGTCACAGCAGTGTCCCCACAGAAATCTCCCCCTCACTGCTGGCTGCCAGGCTGCGGGAAGCTGGGCCCCCGTCTGCCTCTGGGTGGGTGGGCTGCTGGGGGCTCCAGCGCAGCTTGCCTTCCTCTGGGGGAAGAGAATGCTCTTCTCCAGCCTGCAAACTCCTACCCCCGCATCCCGCACAAACACTCCCCACTGTAGCAGCCCTGGAAGACCGGGGCGCGGACTCCCCCAAGGGCTGTGGGAGCGCAGTCAGCTCCCGGGTCACTGCTTCCTTGAAGCCTGCTCAGTCACCCGGCTGGGGTGCCCGACAGGCAGCCTGCACCGCCAGCCTCTGCCATCACCCCGAGGGCTGAGGTCCCATGCCAGCCAGCCACAAACGCTGGACCCAGAGAGAATGGAAGTGGTTCCCGGAGAACACTGCACCTGGAGCAGGTCCCACCCCCAGCACCCCAGAACCGCTCCCAGGGGGCACGGCCGGCTGGGCCTCCATCTCAGACGGGGGATCCAGCCCAGGCTCACAGAGCAGCTTGGTGCCAGCACTCAGGGCCTCAGCGTACCTCTGCATGTGGAAGGCACTGAGGAGCCCCTGGCCCTGTCCATCCCTTCACCTCTCAGGCCCATATCCGGTCCCCAGCCAGAGGAGGCAGGTGGGGCTCTCAGGGGCGCCCCCACACATGCTGCTGCCCCCAGCAGGGATGTCAAGGGAAGAGCAGCAAGCACTGAGGGTGTGCAGAGATGGCCCAGGGCCAGGAGGGCATGGAGCCAGGCTCGGGGACTGAGGGCTGCACTGGGGGGGCAGTGGCCAGCTCTGCAGTGACAGGTCCATCCCTCCCAGGGATGCCCTCTAGCCAGGGCCACATCCCTGGACACCAGGGGCGAAGGAAGAACAGCTGGAGGACCAGCTTCGCGGGGAGACCGGACCACAGGGCCAGAAGTCTCAGCAGCGGCTGGCCTGCTTCCCCCAACAGGCAGCCAACAGTGACCAAGGAGTTTCAGTTCTCCTGCCCCCAGAGCAGCCCCATCCCAGGCAGGTCTGCCCCACATGGTGGCCTCCGGCCCCAGGGGGCCCTCACACCAGGGGCCCTGCCTGAGGTCTGGGCCCCAGGGGGGAGCGGTGGGGGGGGAACTGGGGACTCTGGACTTACTTGGCTCCTCTGAGGAAGCGGCTTCTTCTTAGGGCCAGCATCCCTTGCAGCAGGGGGGCAGCGCAGGGGTGGCCGGGCCAGCTGCTTCCCCATCCTACTCCAGGCCCTCAGGATTGGAGGCTGCAGAGGGTGGGGCCAGCGTGGCCACACAGCAGGGGAGGAGGATGCAGCCTGTGGCTGAGGAGGACTTGGTCTGGGCCCACAACAGGAAGCCGTTGGGGGGCCTTCTGCCTGGGCTCTGCTCTGGTGCAGGCAGGGAGGAGGTGGCCCGCGCTCCACCCTCAGCCCTGCACACCTGAGACACCTGAGAGAGCGCACTCCAGGCCCCTCGGCCTCCAGCTGGACAAAGGCACCAGAGGCTCCGGACTCTCTGGGGACAGGGACAAGCTCCAAAGCAGCTGCTTCTTCCGGTGCTGCTCCCAAGGGAACAGAGGTTGACTTCCGTGGACAGTTTGTCCTCCTTGCCTGAAGGGTCCCCCGGAGAGGGGGAGACCGCACCCCGGCCCAGGCTCTGAACCCTGTGCCCGCTGCACACTCACCCCTCCTCACCGGGGGCCCAGCCCACCCAGCCTCCGGGGAGATGTCACCAGAGGTACAGTGGCCCCAGGGCCGGCGTGCTGCCGGCTTCTGAGAAGGAACCTCCCCGGCCAGCAGCTGGACCAGAGCAAAGCTCGGACCACTCACAGCCTGGCTGCGACCTGCCGAGAGGCGGGGCCCACAGGAGGTGGGACAGGCAGAACTGAGGAAGGAGCGGGCCCTGTGGTGACAGTGACCCCCTGTGCTAACGCCAGAGGCAGGCCGTGTGCCTTCACAACTCGCCCATCGCAAGGAACTTGGGGCCCCGGGAGCTGGTGCCAGCCCCATGTCATGGCACTGAGAGGCTCTGAGGGGCAAAGTAGAGTCCAGAGCCTGGCTGCCAGGTGGCCATGGGGCCCGGGCAAGGAGTGACTACCCCTGGACAGTGCCTCCTAACGGTCATGGGGGTAAGGACACTGTTGGCCTGGCTCAGATTTGGGGGCTTTTGGGAGAACCACACACCACGGGACCAGGAGCACTTACGGAGGCCGGAATGAGGACGCTGTGGCTCTTACTGCCTGTGGGCCCACTCTCACTGTGGGATCCTCCCCTGTACCCGCATCACACCCAGGACGGCAGCACAGCCTTCTCCCTACTGCCCTGACCTGGGGCCCTACTCCTCTCCTGGTTGCAAGGCAGGATCCTGCAACGCTAGATCCTGTCCCCCCGGCTTCCCCCAATTCCCTGCTGTGGCTTCCTTTGCTGCATTCCTGGCCTTCCCCCTGTCTCCCTAAATTCCACCTCCCTCCCCCCCCTCAGCACCGGGGCCCCCAAAGTTCTTCCCGATTCCTCTCGGCCCCATCCTGCATCCTGCCTACCATCTCAGCATCCTGGCTCCAGGGAGCTGTCTCTCCAGCCTTCCCACCTCTGACAGGTCTCAGGCCACCTCACCAGCTCAGGGCCAGGCACTGCCACCCTGGATGGCCTGCTGCATTTCAACGCGACGTGGCTGGGCACAGCTCAGCATCAACCCGGTCCCCAACTCCAAGAGAGCCGAAGGAGCGCCATCCTCCCCAGCAGCCAAGGCAAAAGCCCAGACAACTCCAGATGCTCCCCCTGCTATTCCCCAGTCCCTGCTCCCGCGCCCCTCACTTCTTCACCTCTGCGGTGACTTGGGAGCGAGGCCGACACAGCCTCCAGCCGTAGGTCCAGCCCGTGCCTGCATATAAACTGCACAAGTCATGGTACCTCACAGGGTTACGGTGAAGGCTTAATGAAATCCAGTTGGCCCTCGAACAATGCAGGAGTTAGGGGCACCGATCCCCGCACAGCCACAAACCCACGGGCAACTTTCAACTCCCCCAAACTTAACTACTCACGGCCTCCTGTTGACTGGAAGCCTTCCCCGTAACATCAACAATCAATTAACACATATTTTGTGTGCTATACGTAGTACCTACCGTGTTATTACAGCAAAGTAAGCTAGAGAATGTTATTAAAGAAGATCATAAAGACGTTTATGGTATTGTACTGTAAAAAATCTGCATATAAGTAGACCAGCACAGTTCAAACCTGTGTCGTTCAGGGTCAAGGGGAACGTTAAGAGTGCCCGATGAACAGCGGCTAATGTGACTACTGGCCAGAACTGTCCCCTCTGTCCATTTGTAGTCACTGTCCTAGGTCAGGCCTTATGAGGTCAGATCCCTGAACTACTGTGACAGTCCCTTCCCTGCCAAGTCACCGCCATCTGCCCACTGGGATGGCATTTTTCAATAGCACTTCCGCCTGTGTCCCTCCCCTGCTTTCTGCAAACCCTCTGCTGACTCCCGACTGCCCTTGGAAGGTCCTTATCTTGGCCTTGGGGTCATTTCACAAATTGATCCCAACCTTGCCTCCTCCACTCGCTCTTTTCCAACCAGATGAGCTCCTCCTGTGTCTGTCTCGGGGCGTGTGGCTTTCTCTGCCTATCCAGAGCCCTCTTTGTCCCTGAAGGCCTCCTTGTGAACGCCTGACCGGGAGCCCCGGGCCTGGCACCTGCCTCTCTTCTGGCCTCACCAGCCAGGGTGGGCGCTGTGTGTTCACTTCCCTCGCTGGCTGTGTGACTTTGGTCAAGAGAATTAACCTCTGTGTCCCCAGTAATGCAGACAACACAATATCTACTAGACAAAGTCCTTAGAAGGGTGCCTGGCCCTTCCTGCATCGCAGAAAATGCTGGACGTTGTTCTTAAAGAAAAACAAACAAACCTTGCCAGAGGTTCCCACTGCCTAAAATAAACCCCTTTAGCTGGTGGTCTGTGCCCTCCCACCTCAACCCCGCTGTTTGCTGACTGGCCCTGCCCTGTCACCCCGGCACCCTTGGCACCTGCCAGGCCCGTTGCCTGGAATTGCCTCCTGCCACACTTCTCTACATGGGAAATCTCACATCTCTGAGACCCCGGTTCTGGCCCTGCTGCTAACTTTAAGGCCATCCCCTGCACCTGCCTCTCAGGATGGTCCTACTGGGTGGCTGGGCCACCTCTGGGTCTCCCTGTGGTTGGCCACAGCCCTGACACTTGGAGTTAGCTCTCTAAGGCTGGCCTTACTGGGCTGTGCATGCTCACAATGGGGTCTGGGTTGTATCTTCCTTCCTTTTCTGGAGCACGCTGCCCTCCACGGCCTCCCCCTGCCTAGGAGCCAGTAGGCCTCAGTAATACCGGTGGAAATGCAGGTCTCCCCCCTCCTCTCCTTAGAGATCTAGGATGACAAAACAGAAAGGCACTTGGGGACCTTCTAGTCCAAATGCCTCATTTTTACAGGTGGGGAAACTGAGGCCACGGACTTGCTGGAAGTCACAACCAGAGATGGCACCAGAGGGACTAGCCAGGTCCCCCGGACCGCTGATCCAGCCTCTTGTCGCTGGCAGGCCTGCTTAGGGCACCCCCACCCCGGCCGGCGTGCCTTACCTGAAGCAGTCTGCGTGCCAGTCAGCATTCAGGGCCTGGAGGTACTGGCCGTCATAGATCCTCTGGCCGCAGCTCGCACACACGGGCAACTCACTTCCTGTAAGGACACAGGGAGTCAGGACTCGCTCTCCGGAGGCGCGGTCTGGTGCAGGCCCAGCCTGCTCTGCCCACCCCACGTGGACCTGCACATCCTCGTGCACACACACAGAGCACCCAGGCACTGTGCCTAGCAGAAGGAGAAAGGACGCCGGTCTGAGAGTCTTGCTCAGACCTGGGCTAACTTGCTAAGCCTCTGTGGGTCTCAGTTTCCCTATCTGTAAACTGAAGAGGAGGAGCGGACGTCCAATCTCCAGCAGCAGCATTCTTCTGGGTCGACTCCTGTCTGGCAAGGTCAATTGGGAGAAAGAAAGCAGCAGGATTTAGAGATAAGGCAGCAGGTTGACACTCTTGTCACAGCCTCTTTCCTCCCCTGCCCGTCCAAGAAGAGGAACCTTCAAAGGGCAGGAACTGGACAGGGCTGGGTTGGTGTATCCAGAGCTGGAGCCCCCATAGGAGGAGAAAGGCAGGAAGCCCAGAGGTGCTGGCCTCATCTGAGTCTCAGCTATGCCTTGGCCTATGAGGGCCTGGGGCTGCAGAGCTGGGCACTCCCAGACACTTGCTCTGGGGACGCCTGGCACCTCCTCAAGCCGGCCATTAGGCATGCTTAGTCATTCTAGGGGCCTGGTATCCTTGGAGCTGGGTGGGTCCTGGAGGATCTCCCAAACCTGCTCCTCCCCATTGTACAGATCGGGAGACTGAGTCCTGGAGAGGGCAAGCCTGGTCATACAGTCACGCTCCCAGGCCAAAGCCTGGCCCTCCATGAGGATGCAGGAACCAAAAGGCAGAGGTGACAGTGAGATGGGCCCTTGCCTCAAGTAGGCCTTCAGGGGCCTGGGGGAGGGCTGATAGGATCCCTAGGGAAGGGCAGGGCTGGAGGGGCTGGCATAAATGGGACCTTCATTGGACCAGGTGAGGCTCTGTGATGGCTGCTGGGGAAACCCCAGGAAGGGGACCCCCAAGGAGGGAGTCTTGGCGGTCTTCGTGCCCTAACCGTCCTGCAACCCAATCCTTGGGCCCCAGGAAGGGGAAAGGGGCTGAAGAGGAGACTAGGAGGAGAGTCATCCTCCCAGCCAAGACTGATGGCAGGCACTGGGTTTGGTGCAGGGAGGGGGGGGCAGGATACTGCCGACGGTTCCCTGGAGGAGGCTTATCTCTGCTCTGCCCATCCGGGCCCCCAACCACCAGTACCGGGGATCAACTACCCAGCCCCCAATTGTAAAGACGGGGAAACTGAGGCCTGGCACGCAGCCCCCGGCTCAAGGTCACAGAGCGGGGCGGGCAGCTCGGACCCAGGGCTGCGGCTTCCCCAGCCCCTCTTTCTTCCCGGCCGGCTTAGAGACAGGATAAGGGATGGCCCCAGTGAGAGCCCCGGGTGGGCAGAGCACGCGGAGGGAGGCCGGGGCCGGGCGGGCAGCGCCTGGGACTCCTCCCGGGTGGTCGTCGGTCGGGGGCGGGGGCAGGCGGGGATGAAAGAGAGGAGGGGC